CCCCCCCCCCCCCCCGCCCCCAGCGTCCCCTGCTGAGAGCCAGTGTGATGCCCTAGGGCAGCGGGCAAGGGCCTCGGCTTGGGCCCAGGAGCAACTCCCTGGGTTCAAGGCCCATCTCCGCCACTTCCCTCCCCTGGACTTAAGTTTGTCCCATCTATAAAATGGGGGTAATCATTGTGAGGCTCTAAGAATTTAACCCTTTAAAACCACTCTGTAAATGTGACTCGTGATGGAGATAGAAACCCTCACATGATTGATATGGGATGGATTGAAACCGTTTCAGGAGCCCTTTCCCCTGGGTGTCAGGAGACCTGAATTCAGCCCTGGGTCGGTGGCTGGTGGCCATGAGGTCACTTATGAGCTCCTAAGGACTCGCAGAGCAGCACTGCGGTGAACCACCCCTAACAACTCTGGGTTGTGAGGCTCCGAGAGGTTAAGTGACCTGTGCCCGGTCACACAGCTGGGAGGTGACCGCGTTGACCCCCCCCCAGCAGTGAATCTTAATATGATCTGCCTTTGACATTCACCTCTGGTACTTAGATGGCAGCTGTGTGGATGAATGTCTCACAGGGAGGTGGCCCACGATAATGGAGAGAGCTTTACCGTCAGACCCAAGCTCTGTCCTCTTGGGTATCTTTAATCCCTCTGGCTCTCAGAATACCGCCATCGTGGTAACAAGAGTCTTGAAACCCCATTCGTTTAACCCTGCTTTTACAGCTGGGACAAGCTAAGCTCAGGGAGGCGAAGAGGCTTCTCCAGGACGCAGGAGAGCTGGGGTTTGACCCCAGAAAGTCTTGCTCCTGAGCCCCAGCCCTTCACCACCACGGTGGTAACGGATAGGGCAAAACGTCGATGAACGGTGGGCGTCGCAGGCCAGTAGGTGCTCTGTAAATGTGAGCTCTCTCCACCTTACCCAGCCTGCTCCAGCCTCAACACTGAGGGGTGCTTTCCACATCCCCCCCCCCCCGACTCCCCACAACTGCTCTCCAGCCCTGGCCCCTCCCCAGAGAGGACCGGAACTTGACGGGATGGTAGGCACTAAGCAATCCAACAGTTACACCCGCAGCAGTGACCTCGTTCATTAAGACTCTTGTGCCTGTCTGGCCCAGTTCAGTCAAGGGGGTCCTCTGCGCCTTCCCTTGCCTCACCACACCCCCCCCCCCAGAGGGTAGAAGCGTAGGCGGTGACATTTGTGCCCTTGTTCCCCAAAAGGTCCTCTGATTTACTTACAGAACAATCGAAAATGAACACCACTCAGGGCCAGGCTGAGAAGTCTGCAGGCGCCCAGGGCAGAGGGCCTGTCCTGAGCACAGACTTTGCTGGTCCAGCTGGAAAGGACCTGGGGCTGACCAAGCCCAGGGGTCCCCAGCCCCTACTGCACGTCAACATCCCTGGAGGAGTGTGGGGAAGTCCCAGTGCCCAGACTGCACCCGGACCGTTGCTGTGGTGGATCCCAGGCATCGGTATTTTTTAAAGCATCCAGGATACAGGCAGGACTGAGAACCACTGATTGTCTATTTATTAATGGGGAAACCGAGGCCCAGAGAGAGGCAGGGACCTGCCAAGGTCGTTAGGGCAGGAGTAGAATCCAACTCTCTGGCTCCCAGGTATCCCGATGTCCCCAGGGACAAGGGAGGGGACTCACTCGGGAGGCTCTCATGGGGCCAGGCACTTTGCATGCTTCATGGCATTTAACCCTTCTAATTCCAGGAAGAGGGAAGAAAGGCTTTTGTGGTCAAGGTGGCATTCCATTGCACAGGCGAGGAAACCATCCCAGGAAGGCTTATTCACCTCACCGGGCTAAGGCCCCAGGGTTTGGCAGAGCTGGGGTTCAACCCCAGGCGTTAGCTACCAGGCTGTCTTACCTTGAGGGGTCTCTGGCCTCCTGAGGAGTTCACTGCTGCTTTCCTGGTTTAGCGCCTGGTCTCAGATTCCGACAGTTCCCAGGAGCCCCTTGCCTCTTTCCTGATCAAGGCAGCTGGGAGCTTGAAAACCAAAGATAGGGGAGGTGTCAGGACAGGCTCAACCACGAGGCTGCAGGGGATGGGAGAGAAGAGATTCCAGCAAATGTATCTCCTGTTGGGGGCCTGGGGTCCCAACCTGAGTCCGGGGGGGGGGGGGGGGGCTTCTCCACCGCTTCACCTCCCAGGCAGGCCTGACCCCGGTCTTAAGTGCTCTGAGAGCCTTCCCCCAAAGAACCATTTCTCTCTCTGCTTTAACTCCTGGCCCTTGGAGGCACTTGTTTGAGACCCTTGCTTTTAGGGTCCCTGCATCAGCAACATCAGTATCACTTGGGAACTGGTTAGAAAAACATTCTGCGGCCCCCACCGCAGACCTGCGGAGTCACATTCCGGGCGGGCGCCTGGCAAATCTGGGTCTTACCCATCCCTCCAGATGTTTGATACACATCGATGCCCCAAGGTGAGAACCACTGCCTTCATAAACCCTTGTGGCTCAGAGTGTGGCCTGTGGATCAGTGGTGTCCATCAGCTGGAAGCTTCTAAAAAGCTTTTCTCAAAAAGCACATCTCAGCCCTCCCCCACCCCCGCCAGGGTCCCTGAATGGGAATCTGCATTTTAACAAGATTCTCTGGGAAGCTTCCTAGGCACTTGCAAGTTTGAGAACACCTGGCTTAGAATGCCCTCCCCTAGCAGGTGACGGTCACCTCCCTAAGAGCAGAGCCCCCCTAGCTGCTGAGCACATCTGTCCCACCCTGCCTCTGTCCCCTTCCCCTTTAGAGCTGGGCCAAGGCCCTTGCAACCCTCCCCGCCCCCCCCCCCATTTTGGGTTCCATAACGTTAATTTTACAGTCTCCCTGGAGTGGGTCCAAAGCAAAGTTTTATGTGATATGATTACACAAGGTGAATCGTCCTGATCTGTCTAATGAAACAGACTGTGTTTGATGATTCCGTGGGGAATTAAGTGCAGTTAAGCTATTAATCAGGCCCCGGTTCTTCTCGACAAGAGGGAGCAAAGAGGGGCCCGAGGGGCCCTGCCAGGCTCACGTGTGGGACCGTTCCGGTGGAACCAGCACTGGTGACCAACGGTCCGTGGCTCAGCTTGCCTTTATTACCCGCTTTGAAGGCAGCGATCAGTTACCGGGAATCCTGTGCTAATCGGGGCTTCTGTCTTCACCTTTTATCCTTCTTTCTGATGAAGTGGGTTAGGAACAGCCAGGATGGCAATCTTTGGGGTAGGCACACAGCTGTTGCTGAGGCAGCTCGGGTGTTGCCCGGAAGCTCTGATGCGACAGGTGGGGCACCTGGGGCACCTCAGTGACTCCAGGGCACCAGCGTCAAGGATGATCGTGACCGTAGCCAGCACTTATGGAGCACCTGCTGGATCCCAGGCCGTGTGCCAGGGTTTTTGCTGCGCTTACTCCATTCCCTCCGCCCAGCATGCCCAGGACGGAGGTCTTCGCGCAGTTGTTCTGCCGATGGGTAAACTGAGCCACCGGGAGACCGACCGAGCCCCTCAGCTACTCTAGGGAGGAAAGGGGTTGCGAATGCTGTCAGTCTGACTCCCAAGTTGTCCGTGAACGGACCGACCCCGAGTCGTAGAACAACAGCCGGAGGTGAAGTGAGCCGTGGTAAACTAGGAGCTGATCCCGAAGGGTTTCCTAGGAGGGCAGGAGCCAGGCTCAGTCAGGGTTCAAATCCTGTCTTGGGTGATTACTGTGTGGCCTCGAGCGACTGGCTTCGTGTCTCTGAGCCTCCTTTTTCCTGTGTGTAAAATGGGCCCAAGTCTCACTCTCCAGGCTTCTTGGGAAAAGGGGAGGTGGCCGACACATAGTAGGTGCTCAGGCAACATACGGTCCCATCCCCCGGTGATCTCCAGTCAGCAAGGATGCCATGCTGTCTCCGCCCGCCTGCATTGAAGGCCAGGAGCCCCGTTTGCAGGACTCTGACCACCGTGCAGGCGGGTCCTTCCTTCTCCTCGACGACCACCGTGCAGCACCCCCTCCAGCAAATATTTGAGATGGTCAGAAGCGGCCAAGCCTGGAAATCCGATCTGCGTGTTACTAGGTGACTGAGTACCATCTCCGTCCACCTGGGCCTCTGCCATCAGAGCAGCAGGTGTCCTGAACCATCCGGGACGCCGTGAGGTGACTCAGGAGTGGAGAGATTCTTAAAAAGAAAAAAAAAAAAACAAAAAAACAACTATACACATGCTATATGTTCTTTTAATCACTCATACATCTGGTCTTAACCCATTACAACAGTGTGGGCCCAATTAGCCAGATACATTGTAAATAATTTATCGTCAGGATAAAATCTATCCTTGTCACCAAGATATAGATTTCCCAAGCAGCGGTGGTATTCCGGGGGGGGCCACTGGGAGAGCCGGAGCCTCTCCACAGGTCTTGATGTGTTCTGCAGAGAAAGAGGAGCCCTTCATCACGTCACAGTTTGGCGGTTGGGAATTTCAATTTAGTTCAAGCATTTATCGAGCCCCTGCTGGGTGTAAGGCAGTGGGGGTGAGGCTCCTGGTGCCTGGGAAGGATTAGGACCTGGGATCAGACAGGCCTGGTCTGGAGGGTGCTGCCTGGGGCTGTGTGACCTCGGGCCAGTCACTTACCCTCTCTGAGCCTCAGTTCCCTCACTGGTGATACAAGTGAACAGTAGCCCTTTCCTTGCAGGGTAGTTTTGAGGATTAAATGAGATGGGCACCCATCACCCAGCAAAGGTTGAGGATTTAGTTATTAAGAACGAGTTGGGCTCCCCCAACCCAGCGTGCAAAACTCACCAGACCGTCGTTCAATAAACAAATCCCTCTGGAGGGGGCAGGGCGGTGGTGCTTCTGTGAGCAGCAGAGGGTCTGGCTTCAGCGTTTGGGGGCGCCTGCCCCCTCTGATTGTCCTAGTGGGGGTTTGGAATCCCTTTCTGCCTTCCCAGCATCCTCCGTCATCTCCTTCCACAGTTACCCAGATTCTTGTTCTGTCAGTTTCAGCAGCTCCAGGGCTGGCTGGTGTCTCTTTGAGGTCCTCTCTAGGGTTTCCCCAAGCCTTCACTCACATTCTCCTGTAGCCTGCCTTTCGAGTCAGACCATCCCCAAACACCTTCCCGATGCTGGTGACAATCCACCCTGCCATTTTCCCCATGGCAAGGTAATACACCACAAAACAAGACACAGTGTATGATGATAAAAAGTAGAGAACCAACACGAAGGCAAAGATGACGGTATAGAGCCTCTGATTTCAACTCTACCCCCAGCCCAGTCCATCAGAGACAACATACGCGGGGAGTTCAAAGGGGGCTGCGGAGCCCGGAGAGCCGGGGAAGACAAGATCTCATCTCAGGATAATGACAGGAATAGTATTGAGTCAACATCAGTTGAGCACTTCCTGGGCCTGGGGCCCCATGCTCAAAACCTCCTCGGCTTTAATCCGCTTGCGTGTACAAAGGTCCTACTATTGTAGGACCTGGGAGTAGATAACCGTTACCAAAGAGGAGAATTGCTACTACACAGGGTAACTTGATGTGAAAAGCCTAGACTTTGAAGCCAGACTGGTGTCCCATCTTGGCTCTACCAATGATGAGCTGTGTCCAAGAGCACCTGGCTTAACCTCTCTGTGCCTTTTTTTTTTCCTGTTTAATGAAAATGAGCGTACCTGTCGCACAGAATCGTGAGGAATAAGTGAATGAGTAGCTCTATTCATACGCTTATTGTACGTGAATACAAATGCATATAGAAGGTACAGTAAATACACGTATTTGTGGATAAGTCTGTGCCGGGCCTACAGTGAGCACCAAACGAGTGGTGGTGTCATCCCCAAAGACCAGGTGAAGAACCTTCCAGGTGGAAGCGGCGGCAGGGAGGGGGCAGGAATCAGGCCAGTTTGGGGATCCGAAGGACTGGGTAAGGGTGTCGCTGTCAGTCACTGCGTCCGCTGCCACCTGACCCTTGCCCCCAGAGCTCCTCCTCCCTCTGACCCAGCCCTGCCTCCTCTCTCTCCAGAGTGGCCGGAGTTTGTGCGGAACTACGCCCCGTGGTGGGCCACTCACACGCTGGACTGGCTCAAGTTCGGCAAGAAGGTGCTGGTGGTGCACTTCGAGGACCTGAAGCGGGACCTGTTCGTCCAGCTGGGCCGCATGGTCAGCCTGCTGGGCGTGGCCGTCAGGGAGGACCGGCTGCTGTGCGTGGAGAGCCAGAAGGACGGCAACTTCAAGCGCTCGGGGCTCCGGAAGCTCGAGTACGACCCCTACACGGCCGACATGCAGAAGGTCATCTCTGCCTACATCAAGATGGTGGACGCGGCCCTGAAGGGGAGGAACGTCACCGGCGTTCCTGACGACTACTACCCCAGATGATTCATCAGGCGGGGAAGGGGCCGGGAGTCCCGCCCGAGCAGGGGTCTCGAGACTCCTGGGGACGCCCCCCACCCCCACCCCCACCCCCACCCCACCCATCTGTCCTCTCTCTCTGGCTCGGGGACAATCCCCTTGGCCGCTGTCGGCCTTCAGTGACTTTGCTGCATGACCAAGGAGGCTCGAGGGAAGAGACTGGGCGCTCCCCACCCTTGGAGGCACAGGGGGCCCCTGGTTTGGAGACGTTCTAGCCACGTGGACCCTTTTCTGTCTCCTCTGCCCCTGCCCCCCCCCCCCCCGCCGCCGCCACTCTGGGCCCCACCCGTGGGAGGGAGGGCTCACGGTGGCCCCAGGACACGGGTGTCCCACTGCAGATGTCAAGGACCTCGATGCCAGGGTGGAAGGGACTGTAGCAGGAGAAAGTGGCCCCAGACTCTCTTCCCTTCTGGGCTGAACATTCACGGCCTCCCCCCACCTCCTCCCCTCCACCCCCGGAATCACAGGCACCAACACTTATCCGGGCCGCTTCTGCTTGAAGAAGGGTCTCAGCCAGCCTGGGTGGGGCGCGGAGGCCATGATGCTCACAGGACGTTAACGGGCACCACCGCGTGGGGCCGCTGTTGTCATGAGCCCACCTCGCCACGGTGCTCCTGGGAAGCCATCGGGTTGGTTGGCTACCTCTAGGGCCGGAATTCTGCCTTTTCTTCCCCTGCTGTAGCCAGAAGGTGACCTTGGGATCTTTGCTCTCCCTTCTAGGGGTTCTCAGGCGCCAATAGTCCCCCCACCAGGATGGCCACGTGCAGAATCTTGAGTAACCCAGCTCTCTGTTGTGGCGCCCAACACATTGATCCCACACTGCCCTCTGACCCCTCCCGGTGGGTCCTTTGCTATCCAGATGAGAGAGCAAAGTGCTCCAAATCAGGTGGGACCATGGCCCTACGACCTTCTCAGACCATTGACCTCCCCTTGGTCGTAGTCCAGTGGGGCTGGCCTCCCTCAGAATGGGAGTGGTTCTTCATTTCCATACAAGCACTGCCCCCTTGGTGGTTAAGACCTCAAACCAAAGGATTCTCAAGGACCTGGGTTGCTAATTATCTGTCTTTGAAAGCATCAATTCAGGACCAATCTTTCCCCCACCTCGGATACCAGTGGCTTCACATCCAGCCCATACCCGTGCACCTGTCTCATTCCCTGCCACGTAGATGCAAAAGCCATAGGTCACAGATCTTTGCTATTCTGTCTGGAGCAGCCCCCCCACTCGGCCCCTTTGAAGGCTCGGGGGGCAGGTAAAAATGCTCGTTCCCAAATACCCAAGAGACTAGGGAGAAGGAGCGTGTAAAGAGATATATTTTTTTAAGAGGAATAGAACTAATACGTTCTGCCCCTTGGCACTTGGCCACTCGAAGAGAAGGGCTTAGGGATCGAGCCTGTGTTTCTCTTCCCTGATTCCCTCAGCTGTGGGATTCGGGCCACCGCAGGGCCCAGCCAGGGGGCCCTGAATGTATTTTATACCATGTTTCTTCCCCCACCCCCTACCCAGGCTAATTTCTAGTCTTTTGAGAAGCAGTCGAGGGCGTGGCCTCCCCTCCCACTTAGAGATCAGCGCTCTCTGGGGTGACTCTTGGTCCAAGACCTGGGCCAGCTCTGCTGGTGGCCCCTCAGGCCACAAGCCTCAGTCCGAAGATTCCTCAGGTCAACACCATCATTAAAAAGCGAGTTTTGTTGAGTATTCTACCATGTCATGGAGTGTTGTGGAAGGCGATTTCACAAATGGGCTTGTGTGTGTGTGTGTGTGTGTGTGTGTGTGTGTGAGAGAGAGAGAGAGAGAGAGGTATAAGTGTCCACGGAGTCTTGACCCAAGTCACCGACAGCACTCCACCTGGGTCACAGGCTAAACCCTGGCCCGCCTCCAAAATGGATCCTGATGGGATTTCCAGACTGAGCCTGAATCTGCCCACTGCTTTGACTGTGGCCACAGACTGAGCCCCAGACCTAGTCCTGGATGGGGCTTTTGCTCGGTCACTCTGGGCCCTGACCTTGAACGCTGTCTGGGCCCTCATCTGACCTCAGACAGAGCCTTGACTCTGGTCCCAAGCTGAGCCCTGAAGCCCTATGCCAATCTCCTCTCCCCTTTCTATGATCTGTTCCTCCCTGGCCAGAAGGGAGGGAAGCCATGGAGCCTGCAGCCCCACGCTTTCCTGATCTCTCCTCCTCAGATCTCACAGACTCCCTGCCATATTCTCCCACCACAGATCACTGCAGGGCAGGGGGCAAGGGGGTTTCCCACCCCTTTAGGCCGGGGCAAGATGGCCAGTTAGGCAACCTCCTCTCTGGCCAGTTTCTGCCCATTTGTATCACACTTCAGCAGTCCTCTTGAATCAAATCTGTAGGTCAGACCCAGAAGGAACCAAGGCGACATTCATTCATTCCCTCGCTTCTTCAACAGATATCTTACTGGGCATCTACTGTGGGCCAGGCACTCCTCTAGCTTCTAGAGGCTTAAAAAGGGACAAAAAGACAAAAATCCTGGTCCCCGCAGTTTACATTTTACCAAGTACCAAGCAGATGCTTGTAAGTAATCGGAAGGCTCTTAAGGAGGGGGATGGGGCGGGGGCAAAGAAGGAAAGTCCCTAGGTGGCTTGTGACTGACCCCAGGAGGGTATTCTCAACCCCGGTGGACTGGGGCGTTGCGTGCTGCTGCCCAGTCACTAGCCAGAACTGGCCCACGTCCCACAGAGGTGATGGCAGAAACTGGCCAGTCAGGGCCTTCCCCAAAAAGTCCCTCTGCACATCCAGAGTGACGGCACCAGCGCATCGGAGGAAGGAAAGCTGGGGGTTCCAGTGGATGCCCAGCGCAGGGGGCATGCCCAGCCCGGAAGCCAGGACCCCTGGCTCATCCTGCTGTCACCTCTAGAGACCAGGCAGCACCCGGCATCTGCTGACGGCTGGGATTTCCCGAATTTTCCAGTAACCCAGGAGGTGGCTGCAAACGTGTTTCTGGGGCACAATGTGGGAGGGGGAGAAGGATGGGGAGGCCGAGGGGATGCTGGGGGGCAGGGCCCACGGGGAGGCTCAGACCCCTTCGCTCTCCATCGATTTCTTTCTGGCTATTTGTCTTTACATGCCCTCCGGCGCTCTTTGTGCTTTTATTTCCTCCAGCTGCTCATTAAACTTCTTTTGTCTTGCCCTCATCGCCCTTCCCCTCCCCTCCCCTCGCCTCGCCTCCGTTTCGTCCGGAGCGCTTTCTTGATTTCTGCTCTGGGCAAGCATCTCTCCATCTCTCGATCTCTGTCTCTCTGCCTGTCTCTTGCTCACCACCCCCCACCCCTGCTGTCCTCTCCTGCCGCCTCCTCATCTTCCCGGGGAGAGAGGGGGCCACGCTGCTGGAGGCAGACACAGTGAGGCAACGTGCTACCCAGGCCGGTAACCAAGGAAGTGGTTTCCTTAGCAACAGAACTGCAGGCCTGGGTTCCACGGGGTGTCCCTTAGCTGTTACAGTAAGTACGGGGTGGGGGTGGGGCGCGGCAAGCCGGGAGAGGGGGGCGGGGCAAAGACCCCGCTGGAGCGATCCTCTTGAGAGGGGACTGTGGTCCAGACCCGCTCAATGCCTGTCACTTTGGGGATACTCAAAAATAGAGGTGGAGGGCTGGGGAGGGGTGCAGAGAGAGGCACACGGAGGAATCCGCAGGACTTGGTGACAGGCTGGAAGTGGGGAGAGGCAGCAGCCAAGAAGGCAAAGGGGCCACCAAGGTTCTGCCGGGGCAGGTCCCGGTGACAGACTGAGAACATGGGGCGGAGGAGCAGGTGCAGGAAGGGAGAAAAGAAGGCAAGCTGACGTAGCCCCTCGTCCCCAAGCAAGTTGGGGGAGACCGGGGAGGGAAGGTGGACACAGGCATAGAAATAACTCCCGAATTTCTCCCTGTAAATTGGTGACGAGGAACACCAGAGAAGAGGCGTGGCCCCGAGGGCGAGAGGCTCAGAGAAGGTCAGTCATTTGCTCGGGTGACACAAAAATCGGGGGCAACGCTGGGATTTGAACCTGGGAATGATCCAGAGACCATCCAGAAGGTGGAAGACGGAGAGGGGGAGGCTAGGGAGAGGCAGAGAAAGAGGCACAAAGAGAGAAACAGAGGAACGGAGATTTAAATCATTGATTTGACACTTTTCCCCACCAGGAGAACAAAAATATGTTCAATTTTTGAGAACTGAGGAAGGGGCGGGTGTAGACAATAGTGCCCAGCGGTGCAGTCGTGGTTGCAGCTATAAATATCTGTCCCCAAAGAAAACACCTGTCAAGATGCATTCACTTCCTGGGAGAGAAATTGTGTCCCCGGTCCAGGTTGATATTTCAGTGACTCATGGGGGGTGGGGGGTGACGAGGGCGAAGGGCAGATGGTTGATCAATGGAACACGGAAACCTCGCTCGGCTTTTCCCCAAATGCAATAAAACGGGCAGGCGAGGAGAGCCATAAATCTGGATGATAATATCCGTCCCCGCAAAAGCAACATGTTTATTTATCATGTTCGCACGTTTACTATTTCCCTTCAAATTTATAGTCGGCAATCTGCTGCCGTGCAGGGGGAGAAACATGGAAATGAGAACCGGCAGAACATCGGGGAGGAAGAAATGATAAAATATTTATCCCCCCACTCCACCCCCCACGCCCTGGCTGCCTTAAATCCAATTTCAAACAAAGGTGGTGATGTATCCGAGCAGGGCCGAGCGTCTCTACCTCAGGCCTCTGACGGCTCATTGAAATGAACAGTCGTTATAGAATGGAATGTGGTGTAACAAAATGATTTCGGGGGTCTTCTGGAGTCCTGTGCTAAATAATTATGGGGAACGAACAGTCAGCCAGAAGCGAGAGAGAAGGTCCATCTTGGTGGGGACCACACTTGGGGGTGTCCTAAACTGGGGGGGGGGGCAATTCCAGGACCAAATTCTCTTCTGTGACCCAAGTTAGCGCCCAACCTCTAGCCAGTTACCTGGGCTTCCAAAACTCGGAATGCCCAGGCCTGAGGTCAGACTTTCAGAGTCAGGTTTCCCCCAACGACGGAGCCCAGGAGTGGGTGGGAGGGACCCTCTGTGCTTGCCGAGAGGCAAAGGGGTGTCTACACCTGCCAGCCTGGGCAGTCATTGCAGCAGAAAGTGCATCGTGGTTGGTATCATCCGTGCACGGATGCTCTTTGGCATTATGATCTCTGTACCCCCCGGAGCTAGCTCAGCGCCTGGCACATAGTAGGTGTGACGGAAGTGTGTGGGGACTGTTCTCAGGGAGTTAAGGAGTACTCAAGGCTGATGCTTTGGGACTCAGAGAAGAGCCACAGATCAGCGGCCAAAGCAGACCTGAGTTATTACTCCCTTAGCTGCGCTGGATTCTATCTGCAGCAATACTGAATTAATTACTGACCCCCTGCTTGAGTCCCCAAAGCTGGTGGCGTGGCATAGCCCACTCCTACGGACCCTTGAGAACCAACTGTGCACATCTCTTCTCATATTCACACTCCGTGATGTCGCACTGGGAGCTTGAAACTGGCTGTGGTGACAATATTTACACCATGGATATTGGCAAATGCTCCAAATCAAGCAGGGTTGTCTTTTTTTTTTTTTTTTTTTTGGGGGGGGGGGGGGGGGGGGGGGGGGGCCCCAAGCACACAGGTGCACTGTCCTTGTGCTTCTTTTCTGTGCCTTTATTCCTACCGTCCCCTCTTCCTGGAAAGGCTTTATCTGGCTAACATCTTTGCCTCCTTAAGATCTGGCTCAGGCTCTTCCTCTTCCAGGCAGCCTCCCCTGACTACAAAGACCAAATTCAGCTCCTCCTCTAACCCCCTGGATCACAGCATTGGACGTGGCCATTGTTATCACTTCAGTAATTTGGGATCTCCCCCCCCACCCCCCCACCCCCGTCTCTCTCTCACCAGGGTATGAGCTCTATTCAGACAGAAACCATGCCTTCACCTCCGAACAAAGACTAGATAATGAACAAACATTTGGCCAATGGAAGAATGAATTGTTCAATCACATTTAACACTATCTACCAACCTCAGCTCTCACAAACTTTGCAGTGAATGGATAGAAGGATCCAGCTGCCTGGACAATGGCTGATAAGAAATGGAAATGAGAAACTACTCACAGCGACGAGAAGAGCTAATATTTACGGAGAACTGGTTCTATTCTGGAGTACTAGTTATAGATACACTGTGCTAGAAGCTTCACACGTGTAACATCCCGGAGTCATGACCAGGACCCTGGGAGGCAGAGACTCAGTCTCCCCCTTTTGCAATCAGGGAACTGAGGGTCAGGGAAGGTAAGTAGTTTGCCCAAGGTCGCACAGCTGGGAAAGGACAGAACTGGACTTTGACATCAGGCCGTGGAGCTTCAGCGTCTCTATATTTAATCACTACCCTGCCTCCCAGGGGGAGAAATGAGCCTCAAGCCAAGAAGGAAGGGGCAGGTCTGGCAAGACAATAGGGAGAAGACAGGCCGAAGCACAGGAGATGAGAGAGGAAAAGACACCCTGTGAAGGGTTGGCCTTTCCGGGGCTGAGGACCCCGGGG